AATATGAGAGAGTCAGGCTGACAGAGGAGTCGGGTGGAAGATGGAGTGCTCAGGAGACTGTCGGTGCCTAGGAGGGGTCCCCTAGGTCTGGGGGGGCAGCTTCTAGGCTGGGCTCAGGCTGGCTCAGGAGGATACATTCTGTGGAGAGGCGCAGATGGGATCAAGGCTTGGAGCAGTAGGGAGCAAAAAGCACAGTGTGAGTACTGCAGCACACTCTGGGATCTACAAGGGTAAAGACTGCCAAACGTTGCAAGCTTTCTAAGGACAGCATTGAGCTCAATCCTTGATCCTTGTCCCGGGAGATCTTCCAGGAAGCCAGGAGGGCTGGTAGTGTCTGCAGGCTGTGGAGCTGGGAGCAGCTCTATAGGGGAGAGAAGATATCTCTGCATGTAGCTACGAGAAGTAAAGTGATTATTTTAAGGGGCTGCTAGTTCCTTGCCCATAAAGGGCAGCTGCTACTGATCCGCAATGACTGATGGATTTCAGGAAATGAACAGTCCAGGATCTGCTTTTTTACATCGCAGGCAAATGTCCACCTTCCATTGTTTCAAGCCAAATTGGACATCCCATAATCCTTATTCCCCTCAAAGTTGATTTCCCCTAATAAAATAACAAAACCAAGCCCATGGACTGGTCATTGTCTATGGATGAAAGTTGGTGTGAGGAATATCTGTTGCCTGGGTGTGCGGAGAGAGCCTTAGGGATACTCATAACACAGCGGCCCTCACAAGGGTAGCACTACATTAGCATTTTCAACAACTTTTTTTAGAAAACTGTGTCAGTCAGTGTCACAGGGTGCTTTCAGGTATGGGGGACCTTCTTGTCTCCCCCATGTGAAAATATCTGGACCTGGCAACTGGCCCCCTCAGGCCCGAGCAATGAATCCTGGAAGGACATATATAATCACCCATACCTAAAAGTATTACATATTTCTTAGGGTTCCAGCAGATAAAGGTATACTGAATGAGCAGTGACAGATTCTCCTTTCAGCTGGACTCTGGGGAAAACAAAAAAATTCCCTTGCAGTGGGGCTGCAATGGTATACAGTCATTTATGCCTAGGTTACTAGTATAAAGGACTTTTATTTACCTTATCCCTTGCTCACCCAGCAGTGGGCGCTCAACTTTTTCCCTGCCACTCTGCCATGTAAGTGGTCTGTCTGCATTTTTGCATACAATGCACTTGATGACATCAGAGTGCCGGCGACTCACGGAGCACCTTAGAGAAGAGGCTGTGGTGATCATAACTTACAGAGTGGAGGGAGCCAGCGGGAACATGGGAATAGGTTATTAAAGTCCTTGTTACTGGTACCCTAGTAAAAGAGAATTTAACCTTAGCAATACAGCATGAGTCCCACTATATGGGATATATTTTGTATACCTGGAGTTCAGTTTTAAAGTTGCACTTCTGTACTGCACCAGACCACCCCACCCCCACTTACCTATCCTGAAGACCACAGAACTCAGCTGGAATATTTTTTTTTTTTTCTTTTACACACAAAAAGATGTTTTGCGGGTTTAAATAAGATTGGTAAGGCATGCTTAAAAAAAGAATGGTCTCACTGCCTTCCCTTTTGCCCTGATATGGCAGTGGTGGTAAACTTACAAGGTAAAGGATGCCTCAACTGGGTCCTTGACATCACCAAAGGGTTGCACATAATGTTCAGTATACAGTATGTAGTGCTAGAGAGGACTGCCAGACATACTGAGGGAATGGAAGGTAGATATGTTATAGGTTTGGTTGGAGACTGGAGATGATAGTTCAAAACTAAGTAGATGTTACATGAAGGCTGGAAAAGCTCACCGCTATTACTCCTTTAGGTTAAGTTTACATTTGCAGTTGGGAGGCGGTAAATTACCGTTATTACCACCCCCTAGCTCTGACCCATTAAGTTGCAAAGACTGCTGGATGGGGTTGTACACATACTGCAGAGCGACACATTCTATCCCAAAAAATGTGAAAGCTTGTGAGCTGTTATGCAAGTGAAAAACCTACTGAAGTACTAATGGTGAATCGCCTGCGCCTAACACATACTCATACTATTCTGCTAAATCAATATTATATACCACAATGTGCCGTGCTTCACTTAAAACTATACATCAGTTGCCATTACTTATGTTGCATATCAAAAATGTAAACAATATTGTGAAAAAGAAAATAAGAAAAATAAAGAAACAAAAAAAAAGCAGTGTCAATATCCAATAGCAGTGTCCATGTGATTAACAAAAAAGTCCATATATAAAATTTCCTCAGACTTGCATAGTTCACTTTAAGATGCAGTAACTCGTGCTTCCAAAATAAAATATTATGTGCAGAAAAAACTTGCAAAGATGTGCCCCCCCCCCCCCCCCCACCGGTTGTGCTCTCACCTCAGGTATATGACCAAACCGTTAAGAGAGGCCATATAATGTTTGTGTCCCTTTAAATGGGCCAGAGTATGGATAAGATGATATCCTGCTGTTTGGGGTCCTTCTCCACTGAAACGATAATCTTTCTTTCCATGGTTGTTAATATAGAGGAATGAATCAAATCATGGTGTAATTACCCCTGATGAAGCCACGTGACCGGTGGCGTAACGTGTAGGGGAGGAGCTTTGACATCACGATGCTCGAAGATACCATACTGACACCAGCTGGCAATTTTAGGTGTTTCACCATAGGAAAAGTTCTGGAGGACACATTTGTGAACAAAGCTGTTTTATACACAGAGTACATGTGAGTGCATTACTTTTATTAATAAAAAGGCTTTTTAAAGGATAATACACTATGATTTATTCCATTCCTCTATATTAACAACCATGGAAGGGAAGATTATCGTTGGAGTAGAGAAGGACCCCAAACAGCAGGATATCATTCTATCCATACTCTGGCCCATCTAAAGGGACACAAGCATTATATGACATATTCTATTCCCCTGTTGTCTTTGGCAGGCAGTAACAGCGCCAAATACAACCCACTCAAGTAAATGGGGTCATCTTGTGATTGCGAGCCACACACTAGGCTTGCAGTTTTTGCGCATATTCCCATTCAAAAAAGGGTACCAAAAGGGTCTCCGGTTTGTCACCAGGGTTATATAGAAATAGCTAAAAGGGTAAATGAGCCAATTTTCGAACTAAAGCATAGTAGCCTACTGGAGAGCATACAAAGTCACAGAAAATGTATATTTATTGCTGTAAATAGTTCATAACGTCTTTTCATTTTAATGTGTATCTCTTAAAAGTTTACTTGTATTCTACAATTACACCTATGCTTTATATATATTGAATAGAAGAAAACATGGCCATGGAATAAAGGAACTTTCTTAACGCTAAAGGAAAAAATTCTTGTGGGAAGCTTAAAATCAACTGATTTTACTAAGTTATAACCGCATGTGATAGACAACCTAATTACGAAGTTCTAAGACTCCGAGAATCAGTGTTAATATCAATCAATAGAGCTCATTAGCTTTATGATACTTTTTATCTGTGGTCCTGGCACAAATGGCTCTACCATTCTCTACTATTTAGCCCTATTCAGAGGGAAGCAATTAACCGGAACTATCAAGGCTGCCAATACTCATTATTCCAGTCTACTGTCTCACGGCGTCAAGGGGGTAAGACAAGCAATGGCAACCATCATCCACTGGCTCTTTTCCCTCTCTGAAGAATTAGGGCAAAGCTGGAGGGCCTAAGCCATTTAACAGACTCCTCATGTATTGTTAAATAGAGAAAAAGCCTCTTCTTTCCAGCAGAACCTTTGTGATTCCTCCATACTGAGTGATAATGGAAATGAAGGAGCAGGAAGCTGAGCGGTTTCATCTGTCTGCAGCTGGCGGTTGGCCTCTAACAATGTCCAGCGTCCCCCCCCTCCTACACCTCCTAGATACTATGTGTCTTTTTCCACCTTTCATTCAGGCTGTTTGATTTAGAGCCTTCCTTTCTCGGGTCAGGAAGAGGCCATGAAGAAACTTGTTGAAAGATGTTCATTGAAATCATCACTACTCTTCATCCACGGGAAAAAAAGTTTCAACTTTAAGAACTGACTACTGTTACTATTTCCGTTCCTAAATTAGAATATTCATTCCATCAAGACTTTATGCCAGTTTGTACATAAAGTTTAAATGGTGACCCAAATCGAAAGAGAAAAACATATTTTATGCAATTATTATGGTTGTTGCTTATCTGAAAAAATATTCATCCAGTTCCAAATTAGAAACCCACAGCAGGGAATCGACTGCCCTTGACAACAGCAGTTGCAGTCCAACACAATGGGGTTGATTTACTAAATGCAAACATTTCAGTTTCCAAGCGAAGTTGCATTTGCAAGGGAATTTGCCACATAGCTTAGCGAAGTTCTTATTTCCATCATTCAATCATGAATACCTCTCAAATGTCCCTCATATGGGGGGGACTTGTCCCTCTTTTGGAACCAAATGCCTCTCACTCTTTCTTTCTCAGTTGTCTTTCTTTTGGATTGATGTAAGCACGTAGCCTCCCTAGCAGTCTGATTATGTCCATATTTCTCTGCTCAAAGCGGTAAATTTTTTTGCATGGAAATATGTATTTGTTTTATTGTAGGCCTGTAATTTTTAGGAATAACTCACTGAAATCTGTCCGAACAAGAGTCTAGTAAACATCCCAGGTATGTTAAAATTTGAAACACGAAATCATAAATTATAATTTAATAAATAATCATAAAAAAATAATAATATAATAATAATACATTTATTTAAATAATATAATCAAACCAAAAACACTGAAATTTGAAATATAGCGCCAAGTTCGCACATCACTGAGCAAAGTGGCAAAATCGTTTTCAGTGTCTGATGACGAATTTCCCCACAAATCATTATCACTCAATTCTGCAAGTGATTCTAAATTACTATCACTGTTCTCTAGCTGGTCTAAAACAGCTTTTGACCTAAAGGGATGCTTTTTGGACGCCCTGGACATTTCTCAGTTTCCAGGCAGAAAGAACAGTAAAAATTCAGGCAGGGCACAGGACAAAGCACTAGGGACAACGTGTATGTGAAATGGTTTGATACAGTAATGTTATACTATGAGATTTTAGTGAATTTAGTGAATGTCACTTTTACAACTTTCAAATTTCCCGCCAGTTCTGTCCCCGTATGTCCCGACGTCGCAGGGAATGGAACCCAGAAAACAGATGCTGGCATCCGCCGGAGGACATTGCCGGGGACACTGCAGGAGGGACATCGTGGGAGCGCAGGACAAGGTAAGTGAAGAAGAGATCCTGGATCAACGCTGCAGGGTATTCCCGAGTGTAGCTCGGGATTACCGCTTGTGGTTCTGAAACTTTACCCCGAGCTACACTCGGGAATACCGCCAGGGAGGTTAAAGGAGACATGTAGCTAAAGCTTTTTTGGCTGTACTTCTCCTATGGATCACAAGAGTGCAGTTCGTTCTGCACTCCTGTGATTTGTTTTCAGTTAACAGTGGGCTAAAGCCCACTATCAGCTAACATCACAGAGCTGGTCCTGGCTCTGAAAAGATCCCGACCACATGGTCACCCAGAAGTCTGGACTGGCACCTGGCTCAGCCACTCAGCAGTTTCTGCTCACTGCACAGCTATGCACTCTAGTGAGCAGTGAAGGAGCAGAGCGGACACTGACAACAAAGGCTGATGGTCACAGTTCTCTGCTCAGAACAGAAGGGAGAACAGAGCAATCAGCAATTAGCAATGTTTGATTGCTCAGCTCTCAGTGCAGAGCTGGCAAGAGACAGATGACATCCACGTAGGTGAGTATAAGGTTTTGGGGGTTTTTTTTAAAGCCCATACTTCTATTTTAACTATCATAAGGGTTTTACTCTATTATAACTTTTATCCAAAATGTAAAATGATTATATTTGATATTTTGAAAATCCAAAAGAAGAGAAAAGTAGCGATAAAAAAAATTGGGTTAAACCAATCAATTTTTTGTACATTAATCCTCATGGTCTGCGTTACTGAAGATATGGTAGGGGTGTGTCCTTTTCCTATATAATTTGTCCTATAATGTGTCCCTATCGTCCATTCCCTTGCAAATTCCAAATTCCACTGCAATGTGAACAGCCTATTTGCCATGAGTAAATCAACTGCAATTGGCTCTCTAGGTGTTAAGCCTGGTACACACGATGAGAATATTGAATGAATGATCATCCATTTTTTTTTTTTTTTTGCATGCTAGTCTCATATCGAAAATAAAGAGGTTACTAAAGTTACAAAAAATTCTTGTAGGACAGAACACAACTTCGGAAGTGATTTAATGTGTGGTATTGTATTGTATTGTATTCTTTCATTTCATGAGTGGTCTTGCTCTTCTGATTTTTTTCGGACAAATGCTATGCTGATTAAATTAAAATCATGCGATCTGGTATTGTACCGAAAAAAAATTTACGTTTGTCCCTTCAAATAATTTCGGCCGAACGCTATGTACTAATGATCAGATTATCGTACGATCGCTTCAAAAGCGGTATTTTTGGTCCGCTTTTCTGATCGTGTGCACTAAGCTTTAGACAAGCATCCAACCTTGGGTATAACAAATCAGCACTGAAAGCTTCTGGCAATGGTTCTGCTACTCAGCAACAAACACTAAAACCAGAAACTTCCAGACACTATTTTATCATCTGAAAACTTTAATTCATGAACCAGATTTTCTGAAAGCAATGAACTTGAAAGTAATCCCTTTCATCCAGATGCTCTGGCTCTCCAGTTGTATTTTGATATTGATTCACAACATGATCTTTGAGATAATAACCAGAGTAAATGTGTTCTGGGAGACATAACTACTAGAGGCTTAAAGGGAAACTTCATTTATTGAGAAGAATTAAAAGTCAACAGCTATAAATAGTAGCTATAAAAAAAACAAGTAATTACAGGCAATAAAAGTCAAGTGCTCCTTCTACAACCCATACTCTTTGCAGGTCCTTTGGATTTCACCCCGACATCTTGGATTTGTGACTTGTGACTTATGTGACTTGTGACTTGATAACTTACAGCCAGATCCCCTACTGTGCATGGGCGGAATGGGCGGTAGGGATGACAGTCATGTAGTCTCCTGGGATCTGATTCTTGGACAGACAGAATGGGGTTGGTCTACTAAAACTGGAGAGGGCAAAATCTGGTGCAGCTGTGCATGGTAGCCAATCATCTTCTAATACCAGCTTGTTCAATTAAGATTTGAAATAAAAGTGCTTAATTGAAGATGCCGAGCTGCACCACATTTTGTACTCTCCGGTTTTAGTAAATCGACCCCAATGTGACTGAAGGTCCACTTTAAGATAATCTGCACCCAGACTCTACTTATTTGTCTAAGCACTCCAGTTTCAGCAGTTTGGCACACCAACTCTGCTGTAGATGACCATTACATATTTTCTTCTGCATGTGAGGATTTCTAGAAGTGTCCAATATAATGATGTACAAAGTAAAGTCCTCACAATGACAGTGTTTCTCCTGTTAGTGGCCCTCTGCTTTGGTTTTCTTCTAAGGCTGGCCATAGATTAGTCTTTTTTTTGTTTTTCTCAACCAGTGAGTTGAACGAAGTAAAATGACTCGATTCCTCCATCCACACATTCGAGGTGGATGGAGGAATCCTCCTTGCTGAGCTATTTTATTCTAACCGAGGGAGATTTCCCTGGCATCAGAATACACTGGAAAGGCAGAAACAAAAAAGTCCCCTGAGTGGTGTGTAAAGATGGAATGTGTCAAATCTTTAGTGCATCTCGTGCTGGCATAGGCCTTGCTGCCCTCTAAGGGTTGGGGGAATACCCAAAGAAAATCGCTGTAAAGACAAAATCATCCCATAAACATATGGGATGGAAAAAACACAGTTCCAACATCATACATATCCAGGCACATTTCGGTGTAATGGACAAAAGAAAAGTACAACAATAATGATCTGAAGTATTATGGAAAATCTGCTATACTAGAGCGTACCTCCAATATACTTGGTATGACAAGTTTAGTATGTGAAAGGAAGAAACAGACAAACAAGTTGCTTCTCTGCTGAGCCTTTGGGAAGGCTACTATAACCAAGATACACCCAGCATGGCTCTGTTGGCATGCAACGGGTTCTCCTCGTGAACACCCCTGCAATATTACCTGTTGCTTGCCATGGAGACAATTATTATTAATGTGCTTCATAGAGCGGGTAACATAGAGAGATCATCCCCTAAGAGAGGAGAAGACTAGATTGAACAGAAAAGAAAAACTTAAAAGGGAGGAGAGAGAAAAGTAAGGAAAGAAGAAAGAAAAAAAAAAAAAAAGAAAAGAAAGGTGCGCCCTCATCCAAAACCCGGAATGAGTAAGCTATCCGAGTCATGGGGAGTCAGTTAAGTATCTGCTCCATGGGTCCCAAGTTTTCGCAAAGAGGGCCAGTTTGTCATGTAGGATCACTGACAGGTGTTCATTTGTCATGATCCATGTCAACTTGGCCTTCCAGAGATGAAATGGAATCACAGGAGACTTCCAGGATCTCGCAATTTAAATTCTAGCTGCTGTAAAGGTAAAAGTTATCAACCATCTGACATGTCTCGGCACCCCACCCCCCTCCACTGGATGTCCCAGTAGGGCCTGTTGCGGATTTTTAAAGAGATTCATCTGGTTGAGAGAACAGACAAACAATTTATATGTAGGTATCCAAAACCGCCTAACTTTTGGGCATGTCCACCAGATGTGGAACACTGTCCCTTCTTGACCACAACCCCTAAAGCAAAGGGGAGAAGCATCTGGAACACAGGATGCTATCCTCACAGGCGCCATGTACCATCTTAAAAAGACCTATCATTTGATTGATAAAGGACTTAGAGGCATATTGGGCTGGTTTACCCCATTCAGCGTTGTCCATTGGCTTACCCAGGTCTTGTTCCCATTTCTCCATGTAAGGCAGTTTGGAGGAATCGGAGAGTAGTAAGATATAGATTTTAGAAATAAATGTATTATGCTTGTCATAATTCTTGCATAAGTGTTCCATTGGAGTGGAAGTGCGATGTGGAGGAAACCCTTGTTGGTCCACCACTCAAAAATATGGGAGTTGAGATCCGGAGCAAATGCGGGATTACCGAGCATTGGTGCCATAGGTGTGTGTGGAGATTTAAAATCATGTTGGATTGCCACTCTATCCCAAAGGCTAAGTGCAAACGAAATGTCTGGCAAAGTATGGCTGGTCTATCCCTTGCTCTCAACCACATTAGATGACTGATCTGTTTCATGGGAGAGAGGATTCCAACTTCATCCACTGTGGATGGGGTAGTGATGAATGGTGGTGGATCAGTTGTGCCATTTGGGCTGCATAAAAATATTTAGCCAGGTCTGGCATTCCCAAACCATCTTTGATTTTAGATGTATATACGTGAGTTTATTTACACTCATTTTTTATATCCCCACACAAATGTCATTAGTTTCTCTTGCAAAGGAGTGAGGTCAGGCACATTAATTGCAATAGGTAGGGCTCTGAACAGGTACAAAGCCCTGGGTAGAATATTAATTTTAATGGAATGCAATCTGCCGAATCAAGAGGGGGATTGGATGTCCATCTAATGAGGTCCCCTGATAATTTCCTATACAAAAGCGGAATCATTTATCTGGTAAAGGGTGTCCAAGGTGGGGGTCAGTACAATGCCCAAGTAAGGGAGAATGTCAGATTGCCTTTTAAAAGGAAAAGTCTGTTGTAGGGTATCAACTGTGCGGGCGTCGAGAGTCAGTTTGAGTGCTTGCGACTTTGAACGATTAACTCTAAGGCCTGATATTAAGGTGAAGGGTCGCAAGCCCATACAAATTGGTGATTGATATGATGGGCGAGGTGAGTAGCAGTAAGAGGTCATCTGCAAATAAAGCACATTTATGTATCCTGTCTCCACAGGGAATGCCCTGAATATTAGAATTGTTTAAAAGCTTGATGGCTATCGGTTTTAGGACTAATATAAACCGAATAGGAGACAGGGGAAATCCCTGTTTGGTGCCCCTGCGGATGGTTATGTAATCTGAGCTATATCCCTTAACGGACAAGTGGGCCAGTGGTTCATTATATAAGGAATGAAGTATATTGAGAAAGTTCGGTCCAAAACTGCGCTGTTAGAAAACATTAATTTTCTGATTTTCTTTTTAACATCAGTAGGCACCTCTTTTAGTATTAAAGCTGAACTCCAGGAAAAGTAAAATCCTCCTTTGCCTTGCCCCTGCACTGCAAAGCTGTTTTGCCCTACCTGATCCTTCGCTCCTGCAGGCTACTTTGAGCTGCAAGATTGAGCCTCTTCTCCCATATGCTCTGGAGTTGGAAGGCCCCTGACATCATTAAGACTGATGCAAGGCCCATAACCCTGCACTGGATTTGAGGATACTGAGGAACAGTCCACTGC